CACCACATCTCCCCCACCCCAAACCTCTACCTCACATCTCCCCACCCCTAACCTCCACCTCACCACATCTCCCCCACCCCAAACCTCCTCCTCACCACATCTCCCCACCCGAAACCTCCACCTCACCACATCTCCCCACCCCTAACCTCCACCTCACCACATCTCCCCCACCCCAAACATCTACCTCACTCACATCTCCCCACCCCAAACCTCTACCTCACCACATCTCCCCCACCCCAAACTTCTACCTCACCACATCTCCCCACCCCTAACCTCCACCTCACCACATCTCCACACCCCAAACCTCCACCTCACCACATCTCCCCCACCCCTAACCTCCACCTCACCACATCTCCCCCACCCCAAACCTCTACCTCACCACATCTCCCCCACCCCAAACATCTACCTCACTCACATCTCCCCACCCCAAACCTCTACCTCACCACATCTCCCCCACCCCAAACCTCTACCTCACCACATCTCCCCACCCCTAACCTCCACCTCACCACATCTCCACACCCCAAACCTCCACCTCACCACATCTCCCTACCACATCTCTCTGGCCCACATACGCCTCCCTCCATCCCTCCCCTCCCCTTGTATCTCAAACTTGTCGGGCTGGCTAATACGACTTTGAAGCAATAGATTGACCTCAGCAAAAATCGATCGTTTTTTCAGACAACGTATCTCCTCGGGAGATTAGGACTGGTGGTCTCGTGTAATGATGCGCTTGGGACCCGCTTCTTACATGTGTAATGTGGGGGATGGGGACCCGCTTCTTCCATGTGTAATGGTGGATGGGGACCCGCATTCTTACATGTGTAATGGTGGATGAGGACCCGCTTCTTACATGTGTAATGTGGGATGGGGACTCGCTTCTTACATGTGTAATGGTGGATGGGGACCCGCTTCTTCCATGTGTAATGGTGGATGGGGACCCGCATTCTTACATGTGTAATGGTGGATGAGGACCCGCTTCTTACATGTGTAATGTGGGATGGAGACTCGCTTCTTACATGTGTAATGGTGGATGGGGACCCGTTACTTCCATGTGTAATGTGGGGGGGATGGGGACCCGCTTCTTCCATGTGTAATGGTGGATGGGGACCCGCTTCTTCCATGTGTAATGGTGGATGGGGACCCGCTTCTTCCATGTGTAATGGTGGATGGGGACCCGCTTCTTCCATGTGTAATGGTGAATGGGGACCCGCTTCTTCCATGTGTAATGAGGGGGGATGGGGACCCGCTTCTTCCATGTGTAATGTGGGGGGATGGGGACCCGCTTCTTCCATGTGTAATGTGGGGGGATGGGGACCCGCTTCTTCCATGTGTAATGGTGGATGGGGACCCGCTTCTTCCATGTGTAATGTGGGGGGATGGGGACCCGCTTCTTCCATGTGTAATGGTGGATGTGGACCCGCTTCTTCCGTGTGTAATGGTGGATGGGGACCCGCTTCTTCCATGTGTAATGTGGGGGGGATGGGGACCCGCTTCTTCCGTGTGTAATGGTGGATGGGGACCCGCTTCTTCCATGTGTAATGGTGGATGTGGACCCGCTTCTTCCGTGTGTAATGGTGGATGGGGACCCGCTTCTTACCTGTGTAATGAGGGTGGATGGGGACCCGCTTCTTCCATGTGTAATGTGGGGGATGGGGACCCGCTTCTTACATGTGTAATGGTGGATGGGGACCCGCTTCTTCCATGTGTAATGTGGGATGGGGACCCGCTTCTTACATGTGTAATGTGGGGGGGATGGGGACCCGCTTCTTCCATGTGTAATGGTGGATGGGGACCCGCTTCTTCCATGTGTAATGTGGGATGGGGACCCGCTTCTTCCATGTGTAATGGTGGATGGGGACCCGCTTCTTCCATGTGTAATGGTGAATGGGGACCCGCTTCTTCCATGTGTAATGAGGGGGGATGGGGACCCGCTTCTTCCATGTGTAATGTGGGGGGATGGGGACCCGCTTCTTACCTGTGTAATGAGGGTGGATGGGGACCCGCTTCTTCCATGTGTAATGTGGGGGGATGGGGACCCGCTTCTTACATGTGTAATGGTGGATGGGGACCCGCTTCTTCCATGTGTAATGGTGGATGTGGACCCGCTTCTTCCATGTGCAATGGTGGATAGGGACCCGCTTCTTCCATGTGTAATGTGGGGGATGGGGACCCGCTTCTTACATGTGTAATGTGGGGGGATGGGGACCCGCTTCTTACCTGTGTAATGAGGGTGGATGGGGACCCGCTTCTTCCATGTGTAATGTGGGGGGATGGGGACCCGCTTCTTACATGTGTAATGGTGGATGGGGACCCGCTTCTTCCATGTGTAATGGTGGATGTGGACCCGCTTCTTCCATGTGCAATGGTGGATAGGGACCCGCTTCTTCCATGTGTAATGTGGGGGATGGGGACCCGCTTCTTCCATGTGTAATGGTGGATGGGGACCCGCTTCTTCCATGTGTAATGTGGGATGGGGACCCGCTTCTTACATGTGTAATGTGGGGGGATGGGGACCCGCTTCTTCCATGTGTAATGGTGGATGGGGACCCGCTTCTTCCATGTGTAATGGTGGATGGGGACCCGCTTCTTCCATGTGTAATGGTGGATGGGGACCCGCTTCTTCCATGTGTAATGGTGGATGGGGACCCGCTTCTTCCATGTGTAATGGTGGATGGGGACCCGCTTCTTCCATGTGTAATGGTGGATGGGGACCAGCTTCTTCCATGTGTAATGGTGGATGGGGACCCGCTTCTTCCATGTGTAATGTGGGGGGGGGGATGGGGACCCGCTTCTTCCATGTGTAATGGTGGATGGGGACCAGCTTCTTCCATGTGTAATGGTGGATGGGGACCCGCTTCTTCCATGTGTAATGTGGGGGGGGGATGGGGACCCGCTTCTTCCATGTGTAATGGTGGATGGGGACCCGCTTCTTCCATGTGTAATGTGGGGGATGGGGACCCGCTTCTTCCATGTGTAATGTGGGGGATGGGGACCCGCTTCTTACATGTGTAATGTTGGATGGGGACCCGCTTCTTCCATGTGTAATGTGGGATGGGGACCCGCTTCTTCCATGTGTAATGTGGGGGGGATGGGGACCCGCTTCTTCCATGTGTAATGGTGGATGGGGACCCGCTTCTTCCATGTGTAATGGTGGATGGGGTCCCGCTTCTTCCATGTGTAATGGTGAATGGGGTCCCGCTTCTTCCATGTGTAATGGTGGATGGGGACCCGCTTCTTCCATGTGTAATGGTGGATGGGGACCCGCTTCTTCCATGTGTAATGTGGGATGGGGACCCGCTTCTTCCATGTGTAATGGTGGATGGGGACCCGCTTCTTCCATGTGTAATGTGGGATGGGGACCCGCTTCTTCCATGTGTAATGGTGGATGGGGACCCGCTTCTTCCATGTGTAATGGTGGATGGGGACCCGCTTCTTCCATGTGTAATGGTGGATGGGGACCCGCTTCTTCCATGTGTAATGGTGGATGGGGACCCGCTTCTTCCATGTGTAATGGTGGATGGGGACCCGCTTCTTCCATGTGTAATGGTGGATGGGGACCCGCTTCTTCCATGTGTAATGGTGGATGGGGACCCGCTTCTTCCATGTGTAATGGTGGATGGGGACCCGCTTCTTCCATGTGTAATGTGGGGGGGATTGGGACCCGCTTCTTCCATGTGTAATGAGGGGGGATGGGGACCCGCTTCTTCCATGTGTAATGTGGGATGGGGACCCGCTTCTTCCATGTGTAATGGTGGATGTGGACCCGCTTCTTCCGTGTGTAATGGTGGATGGAGACCCGCTTCTTCCATGTGTAATGTGGGATGGGGACCCGCTTCTTCCATGTGTAATGAGGGGGGATGGGGACCCGCTTCTTCCATGTGTAATGTGGGATGGGGACCCGCTTCTTCCATGTGTAATGTGGGATGGGGACCCGCTTCTTCCGTGTGTAATGTGGGATGGGGACCCGCTTCTTCCATGTGTAATGGTGGATGGGGACCCGCTTCTTCCATGTGTAATGTGGGGGGGATTGGGACCCGCTTCTTCCATGTGTAATGAGGGGGGATGGGGACCCGCTTCTTCCATGTGTAATGTGGGATGGGGACCCGCTTCTTCCATGTGTAATGTGGGATGGGGACCCGCTTCTTCCATGTGTAATGTGGGGGGGGGATGGGGACCCGCTTCTTAAATGTGTAATGTGGGATGGGGCCCTATTCTTCAATGTGTAATGTGGAGGGAGGGTAATATATACTTGCTCAACTTGTAATGGGGGAGGGGGGGTAGAGACCTGCGGTGTTGTTTGATACTTATTGGTTGACTAGTGGTGTTGTTGTTTGATACTTATTGACTAGTGGTGTTGTTGTTTGATACTTATTGACTAGTGGTGTTGTTGTTATTTGATACTTATTGACTAGTGGTGTTGTTTGATACTTATTGGTTGAATGTTTCTGTGAGGAGGAAGATTGGAGACTAGGTGAAATTCTTGGGTCATCATGATGTTGGCCATTATGATGTTGGCCATTATGATGTTGGCCATTATGATGTTGGCCATTATGATGTTGGCCATTATGATGTTGGCCATTATGATGTTGGCCATTATGATGTTGGCCATTATGATGTTGGCCATTATGATGTTGGCCATTATGATGTTGGCCATTATGATGTTGGCCATTATGATGTTGGCCATTATGATGTTGGCCATATTGCATTCCTTATCACAGGCCATTCATGTGGGGATCACTGGATCTTCATCCGCTTGATGTCATCCTTCCCCCCCCCTCCCCCCATCACTCCATAGTTCTTTGACAAACTTAATTATATATATATATATGTTTGTTTTTATAGATCCTGATTCAAGTTATAAGTATTTTACTGAAAATTTAATCACTATTTTCAGCAATCTTTATTTCTACATCTATTAATTTTCTGTAAACAATATACATTATTATAATGTTCATATTAAAAAAAAAACTAAAAAACTTTTTTTTTGTTTTTTTTTTCAGGTTAGTTTAGATTCTCGGGTGAGAGAAGTTATAAATAGAAATATGGTTGAACCAACACCGCACACATTCGACGAAGCACAGCTCCAAATATGGACATTAATGCATCGAGACTCATATCCACGATTTCTCAACTCACAGATGTACAAAAAACTAGTGCAGCAATTGTCATGAAAGAGTGATCTACTTGTCAAGTGCACTCATAGAATTAATTACTGTTTTTTTTTTTATAAATTATTCAATTTCTTTGAAGATTGTTGTGTGAGAAGGTGTGACTAATTGAAGAAGCCAAGGTGTTCAAAAATTTGAATATTTCTGATTGCTGGGCACTGGATTATGGCTGAGTGGTCTCAAAGTTTACCACTGACGACAAAAAAAAGTCCCCTTTTGGAATGTGGATCTCCTTTGTTAATGAACATTTTTGAAAATGTTGCCTGAATGGGGAATTATATCGGGATATAAAATAGTCTGTATCATTGATCATCCGGATAATCTGTTTTTTTGTTGGGTGAGCAGACAAGAGGGATCTCTGTGATAACATCCAGGACTTTGATTGTGTCTTGACCGGGCATAAGACACTGACTATTGTGTCTTGACCGGGCATAAGACACTGACTATTGCACTACTATTGCATCATATTGAAGGTTAATAACACTATTACGATGATACCATCTGCTACAAAAAGAGTTTATCTCATTCATCCTGAGAAAATCTTTCTTAAATCCCACAGCTTCTATTGTTTTCATATTGTTGTATGTACTGGATAAGAGCTCTTCTTACAAGAAATAAAAAAATGAATTCTAGATCTCAAATTTGATTAAAACTTTATTTAAAAATTACAATGTGCTGCTGTTCTTTTTTATGATTTTTTTTTTAGAAGTTTGCATTTCAATTTGTCAACATTTAAATATTGCAAACATTTAGTAAAATATTACAAAGTAAATACTTGTATAATAAACAAAATTAACAAATGCAATCATTAACAGTTTATATTTTTTTAGTAGTCTAATTTTTAATTTATTTAGTCATAGCTGTTTAACATTTTTTATCAAGAATTATCAATATATTTTTTTTAATATTATTTTAAATAAAAAAGCTTATTCTAAATAATTATCAGAAACAAAGATTTTATTTACTTAGTTTCAATATATTTTCAACTATAAGAGAAATGGGTCTACCAATTATCTTAACAGAGCTATAGCTTACTGAGATAGGTTTAATAAATATTTACCTACATTGTTCTCATTTTAATCATATTAATGCTTAAAGGCAACTCTACTTGTGATGTCAATTTTGTTTTATTAAATATTTGAGTCTTATAAAAATAAATCCTTAAGTACTGAGATCAATTTCAAATTATCTCTTACCTAAATTCTCTTAAGATATATTTTCAAAACTACTCCAACAAATTTATGATTCCAATGATCTTGAAAATATTTTTTTTAAAATAAAAAATCTATTAAAATGTTTAGATAAGTATGACACAGCTTATAAAATCTAACTTAACATAACTGAATGGATTTTAATACTTTCTTCCAATAACAAAACACCATAATGGTGTCTGCTAAAAATTGTTTTGATTTGACTAGATCATTTTCTGTTAACTTGGATTACATAAGTTTTAACTTTGGTTACTTATGGTTTTTTCTTTCAACATGGTTCAGTTAATTTACTTTATTTTTTTTTTTATTCAACATCTAGAGTATTAAAGCAAACCAAAATTGTAACAAATACAACTTAGAAAGATATGTATCAAAGATCTGTAATAAAGATCTATATCAAAGATACTCCGTGTCATGTCTCTGGCACCCTTGTTGAGCTAGTATCTTGAACTTTGAACTGTTGGTATGATTTTAATAACATCATACATACATCAATGTGCATATCATAGCTTTTTGCTAGATAAGTTAACAATCAATTGAATGTTGATAATTTTGTATGCATTTACTTCCATGCTTTCAGTTGATTCATATTTTTATATAATTACACTTCTTTTTTTAAATTTTGTATTATTTATAATCAGTTAGATGACTACATTTACTCCTTTTTGATGTGCAGAGAATGTTTCATCCCCTTTAGCCTCCCTCGTTCCACTCTGTCTGACCAGCATCCTTTTGTTGTTACTTAGGATTATCAATTTAATTCTTGATCAGAAATTTCATGCTTGATTTGTCACTCTGATTTCAGGTTAAATGTCTGTAAATACTTTTCTCTGTGTACCTGTAGGAAAATTTAGCTGTACCTGTCAAGTATAAATGTCTTACTATTGTAAAAAGATCTAATCAATATTATTATGTACCGGTATTGTAAAAAAAAAGCAGTTTTTTCTTTAATTTATCTTCATCTAGTTGCCTTTTAAGGCAAGAAAAAACTAGTGCAATTTTAAATGTTATCTGATTCTGATCATCTGTTTTCAACCTACACTTAAGGCAAGCAGGCTCTAGCTTATCAAAGCCTAAATTACTAGCCCATTGTTTCTATAGCCAACATTGATTACAGTCTTCTAATACATTTTTAATACTACATTTTTAAAAGGTTTTTTTTTTTTATTTCTCTTGTGATTTACAAAATAACAATTTTTTAGAATTTAAAGAACTAAGTCAGAATATTTGTCATTCGAAAAAGCATATTATTTTATCAATGAGCTCTCCTTCATCAATGTGTATACAGTATGAATTTCCTATGTATCTGTTGTTTATAACAATAATTCCAGTATGGATGGTTAATGATGTGTGCTAGTGAATCGAATGCCAGACCAAGTTTCTGTGATGCAGACAATATATAAATAACATTGTATAGTGCAACGATGATTATCATTGTCTCAAGTTCCTGGATTTTCTAAATATTAATTTATTACAGATGTGTTTTATAATCCTCAAAATATTTATTTCATTCATATCACACTGTCTGTGTATAAGTAAGTATGCTGTCATTTTTTGACGTCAGACGTCAAATGGTGTGATAAGGAAGTTCACAGTGACATATCCAGCTGAAGGTACAGGGCTAAATAAACCATTTTTTTACGGTTCAAATTTTACATACTACCCTCAGAACTTTTAGATACATCTTTAAGTTTGCTTTTTACTATGTTTTAGCACTGTACTAATATGTTACAAAATAATGTTAATTCAGCCACATTTGAATTATTGCAGGACACATTTTATAATTTTTAATAAAACAATGTTTTATTGGGTTTTTTTAACTTCTTATAAATATGTACGTATGGTTAGATTTTTACAGTGTTCTTTTTATAATTAATTGTTGTTGGGTTTTTTAGCTAAAGATGAAACTCATTTTTTAATTTGAATTTTGGCTGTTTGCTTCTATTTTTAAAAAACAAAATGTTTTCCATCAAAATTATTGGGGGGGTTTACAAAAGCACTGCAAAAATTACATTCCAGAATATTATAGTCCAAAAAATAATCAGAAGTATGAGTAAACAAATATTAAACCATGCATTTATCTAACATAACAGCATGATTAGTTTCAACATCTTTGATTACAACAAAAATGTACTTAAACAATTATATTAGACAAATATCTTTTTTATACAGTTACAACAGCTAAATTTAAGGTTGTGAATGAATACTCATCTGCTTTGTGTTACATGTTTTTAGTAAATAGTTTACATAAAACTGGTTCTTAGAATTAATTATAAATAGTTTATGAAATAATTTTATACCACCTGTTTTTGTCTCTAGATTAAGAAGGTGTGAATAGATTAATTTACCTAGTTGAGATCTCAATAATTGTTTTCTTATTTGAGATGTCAAAATGAATAAGTAAATTATGGATAAAATCAATCTAGTCAGTACTTTCCATAGTACTTTCGTTCTCTCTCATCTGTACAATAGGTTGTTAATTTTATTTGTATTACTTAAATTGAAACATTTTTGGCTAATCAAACAGTCCAGCTTTCAAGAAACTACCTAAAAACATAACTGTTCTTTCTTATATTAGGAAACAAATGAAAATGTGTACCTTGTGCAGATCAGATGAAAAGTTGTTTGAGACAGAGGTAGACTCAATTTGTTATACAGAGCGGGGGGGGGGGGGGGGGGGGGGGCGGACAGACATTAGAAGATAACAAGTGAAGCTCGAATGAATTGGTTTTTATAAATTAATTTAGCCATGTTTTATTTCAGTTATTATGAACTTTAAATTATCTCTGCATTACAACTTATCTAAGAACGATCTCTGCATTACAACATATCTAAGAACTATCTCTGCATTACAACATATGTAAGAACTATCTCTGCATTACAACATATGTAAGAACTATCTCTGCATTACAACATATGTAAGAACTATCTCTGCATTAAAACATATGTAAGAACTATCTCTGCATTACAACATATGTAAGAACTATCTCTGCATTACAACATATGTAAGAACTATCTCTGCATTACAACATATGTAAGAACTATCTCTGCATTACAACATATGTAAGAACTATCTCTGCATTACAACATATGTAAGAACTATCTCTGCATTAAAACATATGTAAGAACTATCTCTGCATTACAACATATGTAAGAACTATCTCTGCATTACAACATATGTAAGAACTATCTCTGCATTACAACATATGTAAGAACTATCTCTGCATTACAACATATGTAAGAACTATCTCTGCATTACAACATATGTAAGAACTATCTCTGCATTACAACATATGTAAGAACTATCTCTGCATTACAACATATGTAAGAACTATCTCTGCATTACAACATATGTAAGAACTATCTCTGCATTACAACATATGTAAGAACTATCTCTGCATTACAACATATGTAAGAACTATCTCTGCATTACAACATATCTAAGAACTATCTCTGCATTACAACATATCTAAGAACTATCTCTGCATTACAACATATGTAAGAACTATCTCTGCATTACAACATATCTAAGAACTATCTCTGCATTACAACATATCTAAGAACTATCTCTGCATTACAACATATCTAAGAACTATCTCTGCATTACAACATATCTAAGAACTCTTGTATCCAACAATTTACAACGATAATAAAGTAGAACTATTTTTAGATATGATAAAATTGAAATTTAGTTTCAAATAATGTAAATGTATAAAGTTTATTTAAGGTAGCTTTTTTCAACTTTTCAAAGCTCAAAACATTGCCAGGTGTTGTAAAGAATAAAGTGTTCTCTAATTTACCTCTGAGATGAAAATGTGGAAATTGTTTCATCACTTGGGTACTCTTTTAAATCAAATTATAAACTGTTCATAAAGGATTGAGTTGAGTGTTGGCTATGTAGTAATTAATAAATGTAAGATCCGGTGTAAGGACCTAACAGTTACAAAATTTTTGTTTTGTTGTTAATAAACTTCAACTTTTGAATAATGTTTGAACCAAGCTATAAGTTGCAGCCAGCTGCTGGCTCAGCTAGCCCACAAGCAACAGTTCTCAAACTATGGCTGTATTGTCCCTTTACATGTGGTCCAGTTTTTTAGCTGGATGAAAACTATGTGATGGGTTTACGTGAACTGTGTGAGTGTACGATGACCTCATATGAATGTTTATTTTATATGTCTATAGATATCTTCATAATGTCTGTCAGACTGGGAGATTATGGGGAACTTACCTCTTGAAAGTTTACTTTAAGGTTTTAACCAATCTCCAACTTTAGCACACCATCTAGTTTTTGTTTTGCTAACAACTTGTAAAAAATTAATGAGATATACAACAAATACCTTTTTAACAACGTCTAACAGATAATTAACTTGTAATCAATGGCATCTTAGATTATTTGGCAATGAAACATAAAGCAATTCTTGTGATATTAATTTTGCTGCAACAACTCAGCAACATCTTCATTAAACATACATGTGTAACCATTTTTATGATATTACAGTCAATATTTATACTTTACACATTCAAGATTCAATGCTATGGCAATTTTCATGTATATTTTCTATTTGATAGCAAACAAAACCTCAAAACTATTTCATATCATAATATCTATGTGATTTTTATAGGTCTACAATTAGACTTTTAATGTGATAATTATGAATTGACATTCTTTCAATTTCACAAGGTTAATTCTGAGAGTTTATGGACTATAGTTACAATACTCCATAATAATAATAAATAGTTTAGATTTGAGTCATTATTTTACTTACACTAATAGAAGTGTCAAAAACACAAATAGTTTAGTGAAGCCAGATGTTACAATAGTGAATAGACTGCAATATGTTTGATACTGTTCACATCCAACTTTTCTTTCTATATGTGAATATCTGTGTTTGGCTATTGATGACCAGCTCACAAACCCTTTCCACGTATTGTACGGGTTTCATATCACATATTTAGCTCTTCAGTGACATGAGTACAAAAAAAACGAATGTATGTTGTTGAACTGACCTAATAGATAACCACACTTTTGTCATCTTTACTATAACAATTTTTGTTATTTCTTATTCTGATGGTTATTATTATTATTATTATTATTATTATTATTATTATTACTATTCTTATGCTATAAATATGTGCATCATCACCAACTCATTTTATTTTTATACTCCATGAAACTGTCTGTGTAGTCCATTTCTTTAATTCACTGTACTAAGTCAGTTCTTTGGTTTTTCAGGTTTTTTTTCAAGTTGAAAGAATGTTGATCTAACTTTACACTGGTCCTTTTGAAAGTTAGTTTTTGTAACGGTAGACTGATGCTGAGGTGTAAAAATGTCCTAGGTGATATCAGCGAATTAACTTACTGATACTTGAGTTGGATTGAATGGATGGACGGATGATTTATTTCCCTATCCATCTGTTTTAATTTTTTTTTATTGTGATCACCATAAACGAAAAGTGATATTTATTTGAAGAGAAATTAAATTTAAATGTTGTACATGATTCATGTGTGGCATTTGTGTTGCTTTGTGGCTTGACTGAGCAAAGATTGAGGGGGTTGTCCAATTGTGGTTGCCTTGTGTGAGGCCAAGCAGAAACTGTTACCAATCTAAACATACAATCTAAAAATATCTCCTAGAAATTAAAAGTTCATTCACATCCGCTTGTTGAATTTTTTGTTCAGTTTCTGTTGTACGAAAGAAAACACTGTCTAAAATGTTTATAGTAAACCCTACCTGAAAGGTTTCCAGCAAACTATAATTATAAGTGTTTCCAGTAAATCCTAGCTAGATCTAAAATGTTCCAAGCAAATCTTAGTTGAAATGTTTCAAGCAAATCCTAGCTAAAATGTTTCAAGCAAATCTTAGCTAAAATGTTTCAAACAAATCGTAGCTAAAATGTTCCAAGCAAATCTTAGCTAAAATCTTTCAAGCAAATCCTAGCTAAAATGTTTCAATCAAATCTTAGCTAAAATGTTTCAATCAAATCTTAGCTAAAATGTTTCAATCAAATCCTAGCTAAAATGTTTCGAACAAATCCTAGCTAAAATGTTTCAAACAAATCTTAGCCACAATGTTTCAATCAAATCCTAGCTAAAATGTTTCAATCAAATCCTAGCTAAAATGTTTCAAACAAATCTTAGCTAAAATGTTCTAGGAAATCTTAGCTAAAATGTTTCAATCAAATCCTAGCTAAAAAGTTTCAAACAAATCTTAGCCACAATGTTTCAAACAAATCTTAGCTAAAATGTTTCAATCAAATCCTAGCTAAAATGTTTCAAACAAATCTTAGCTAAAATGTTTCAATCAAATCCTAGCTAAAATGTTTCAATCAAATCCTAGCTAAAATTTTTCAATCAAATCCTAGCTAAAATGTTTCAATCAAATCCTAGCTAAAATGTTTCAATCAAATCCTAGCTAAAATGTTTCAATCAAATCCTAGCTAAAATGTTTCAATCAAATCCTAGCTAAAATGTTTCAATCAAATCTTAGCTAAAATGTTTCAATCAAATCCTAGCTAAAATATTTCAAGCAAATCCTAGCTAAAATATTTCAATCAAATCCAAATAAAATATTTCAAGCAAATCCTACCAAGCTAAAATGTTTCAAACAAATCTTAGTTAAAATGTTGCAATCAAATCCTAGCTAAAATGTTTCAAACAAATCTTCGCTAAAATGTTTCAATCAAATCCTAGCTAAAATGTTTCCTGTGGATCCGAGTTAAAAAGTGTAGGCCCATAATAAATCCTAAAAGTTTTTATTTATATTTTTATAAATAGAAAAAGTGAATCTTGTGTGAGTCTAACTAAGCTATTGCTTCTAGAGGAGGAGGAGGATGCCAGACAAAAACTTTACTACTAGAACTTTTCAGTTTTTTTGTGTATTTTATTCAGGTTGAATGATCTACTGACGTAAATTAAATTGCTTAGGCCTAAAGCTTTCACATTGTCTCAGAATGACAATAATATTTTCTTTGCCTGCTTTCAACAAGCTGCTTTACATTGAAAACTGGTGTAGGCAAACAGTTGAGGTGTAGGCAGACAGGTGAGACATATGCCTAAAGGTGAGACATAGGCCTAAAGGTGAGATGAAGGCTAACTATTAAGCTACGAAGTGAACTTAGTTGTGGTGTATGCTATCAAAGAATATTACCCAGAATTGTTGTAAGCTGGTGTCTCAAGAAAGCTTAAGAAGAAAACTGTACATTCAACCTTTTCATTATAAACTGTTTTAAACCTGATACCAAGTTCTCTTGGTGTGCTTCATGATGTGTCAAAACTTCTTGGTGTGTTGTGTGATGTGTCAAAACTTCTTGGTGTGTTGTGTGATGTGTCAAAACTTATTGATGTGTTTTGTGATGTGTCAAAACTTCTTGGTGTGTTGTGTGATGTGTCAAAACTCTTGGTGTGTTTTGTGATGTGTCAAAACTTCTTGGTGTGTTATGTGATGTGTCAAAACTCTTGGTGTGTTTTGTGATGTGTCAAAACTTATTGGTGTGTTTTGTGATGTGTCAAAACTTCTTGGTGTGTTTTGTGATGTGTCAAAACTTCTTGGTGTGTTTTGTAATGTGTCAAAACTTATTGGTGTGTTTCATGATGTGTCAAAACTTCTTGGTGTATTTCCTGATCTGTCAAAACTTGCAACGGATCTTTCAACTAGTTCTAATGAA